GAGAAAGAAAGAAAAGCTCTCGCCTTACAACGAACGCATCATAGAAGTTAGTTGTAAATGGTTTTTGCCATATCGAACTACTTGATATATCGAACTGATCATAGCTTTTCCTGCTGTTCGTTATAAACGGGTTTGACTGTAGAAGCCTACAACAATTCTTGGCGGCACCGTCGGAAAGGTTGATTGCGACTTGCTTCATTCAATGAGCGTAAAATTTTAACATGTGAAACCGGGTCAAGTCTGTCGTTTAGTGGCACATTGCACGAAATATGTGCCGCTTTAGGAAACACTGATGCCAAAGCTGATTCCTCCTGATGTTTCGCAACGTCAAATCACCGAACATACTGAGCAGCGGGGCGATTGCTGCACCAAAGCGCTTACTCCACTACATCCTACTACATTTTGCCAAAATGCAAGGAGTTTGTGCCAATTGTGCCAAAACTTATTTTCACTTTATAAGGGGTATTCATTGGACGCCATGTTTGAGGGCGATGTTTAGAGTGCATGCATTAATAGGTTGCTAAGACCGGAAATCTTGATGGTATTAAATGCACATTGCAAACTAACTGTAGAAGCTCGCTGTCAGCACTTCTTGGCAGCTGCGCACATGGCTATGGCCGCCGGTGAATGCTCCCTGTATGCCATAGGCAGAATTCTCACCAGCTATCATCGTGCCATTCGGAGCCACATATTGGGGGGAGGGGGGGTTCACATCTTTTGGCTGTGGACAAGGTGCATTTGCATTTAACTCGGTTTTCACGACATTAGGGCAATGTATTTGGGCACTCAGTGGGTTGCTGTTTAGTTTTGGCTCAAAGAAGAAAGGAAAGACGGCCGCAAAATTCTGAAGAAGGAGTTGTCGGTAACGAGGTCGCAAGACTCGTCACTCAAGCAGTCAACTGGGCCATCCAGGTCAGTAAACGGTCTTTATCGAAGACGATGTGTGAAGGGTTCATACTGGACTTGCACCATGCGACCATATTTTAGATCTACGACTCCCACTTTGTCGAGGAGACCATTGTCTCTCGGGTGAAACGGTGAAACTGTCGGTAAGGCAACCCCCCAATATGGCGAAAATTTGATCATGAGTACACCATATGGTCCGTTAATGCTGAAAATATAATAAATTGGGCCCCACTACACGGCTGAATCGTTATGGTAGGCTTGTGCAAATTTCAATAACTTCCGATTATCGATTCAAATAACATCTTATTCAAGTTACCGACTTCACAGCACACAATTAGCGCAAACACAAAATGCAACATACACACCGTGCTAAACTCGCAACTCTATTTTGTATTTCGTCTGTTTTCTTCTACATCCAGTATTAATCCAATGCACAAAATTGTCCGCCATTATCTCCTTGTGGCCAGGTATACTAACTCTTTATCTGAAAAGGTGAGAGATGGAGTACTAACACACTTATCGCAAGCCTAACAATATGTTTCACTTCGGTGATCTCCCTGGTCATTTGGTTCCTGTGCAGGGTATTTGGTATAGGCATAGTAACCAAATGACCAGGGAGATCACCGAAGCCAAACATATTGTTAGGCTTGCGATAAGTGTGTTAGTACTCCATCTCTCATCACGGTATAGGCATAGTAACCAAATGACCAGGGAGATCACCGAAGCCAAACATATTGTTAGGCTTGCGATAAGTGCATTACTGCTCCACTTCTCACTTTGTAAGAAAAAGAGTTGTTTACCCGGCCTAATACTAAAATATAAATTCATCGGCTAATTGGTCCAACATACTGAAATTACAAAGAGCATGGACAGACACAGACATGATGTAGACAGGAATAGCGCCGTCCTGTCTACTTCATGTCCGTGTCAGTCCCTCGCGCTTTATAATTGCACAAGGAGATTATAGCTGTCAATTTTCTTTATTGGTTTAATTGACGAAGAAGAAGACGAAATACAAAATAGAGTTGTGCGAGTTCAGCGTTAGAGTGTTCTATACTTCGTCTCACGTTAGTATGAACTATTGTTAGCCGCGCGTGATAAAAGTACGAGCTAGTCGCTTTGAATGAAGCCGCGACGGCTGCACGAGCACTCGTGCAGCAAGCGCTCTAGTCAAGCAGGCAAGGCTGGCCGCTCGCGCTAGCACAGCCTTCGCGGTTAGTCCATGCTAGGGTGAGACGAAGTATAGAAAGGACGAGTGGGGCCACTGGAGTGCTATTTAGGTACCTCCGTGTGTGGAAAAAAACGGCTAATCCAAGCCACTTTTTATGAAGAACGCGTTTCGTTCCAACGCCAAGCTCGACCGGCACACTGGTCAAGGTCATAGAAACGATGGAACGCCGGATTATATTTTTTACTCAACCTAGACGTCGGGCGTCACATACATAAAGTCACCGCGACCTCCCTTGTCATCACAACGCCATGCGACATCAGGACGACGCCTTGACGTCAACGTCGTCATCGACATTGACAACGTGCCTTACACGACATCAAGACTGCATTCTAAAGTCATATTGCTTTGACAAATGACGACGATGTCCAACGTTGACGCTGATTACGACGACGACAACGTCACAGGACGTCAAGATGACGGCGTCCTTGTCAATGCAACGTCATAAGGACGCTTGGTATCAGTTCGTTGACGTCGTCGACATGACGCAACTCGATGCCACGAAGACGACCCAACAGCCTCACGACGTCGACGTCATCGTCGACGACGTCACACAAAATCAAGACTTCGTCGTGACTGTGTGTCGGCGTTGATGCTGGCGAAGGCGACGACGTTGCACGCCGTCAAGGCTTCGTCATGACGTTGACGATGACGTCAGGACGACGTTAACGTGACGTCATAGTGACGTTTGACGTTTTGTGGGTTGTCGACGTCCACGTTGGCATCGACGGCCACGTCCTCGTCGTCCTCAATGTGGCGCGCGATGTCATGACCGCGTTATAACGACGGCTTGATGATGTTGCGTAACGGCATCGCCCTCAACGCGACGCAATGTCACGACTGCGTCACAACGGCGACTTGATGCCGCGTAACGGCGTCGTCCTCAACGCGACGTCACGACCGCGTTACGACGGCGACTTGATACTAAGATACTAAGATGCAAGTGTTCAGTCACAAAGTACAAGTGCGTGCTGGAGATAACTACATTTTGTTTTCACCAAATCTACACGTGGCTATATTCGGGTCGTGACTGGCGAGAAAGAACGTATTCACAAGGTTGTGCAAAAAATAACTTGACACTCGAAATGTCGGAACATGCCATTCGGAAAGCGCAAAGAATGGCAAAATTGTATTCGTTCAGTGATATATTATTCATAAGAAACTGGAAAGTAACGACAAAAGTGACGTCGTTACTTTCATTGTTACCTAAGAAAAAGTAATAGAACTACAGTTACAAGTTACATTTTTAAAAAGTAACTCGTTATAGTTACAAGTTACCAAAAAAGTAACGAAATTACAGTAACGCGTTACTACACAAGACTGCATTTCTCTAAACTGAGGCTCTGCTTTCTCTAAACTGTGCTGCGATAAAACTTGCCCGTTCTCTAAAACGTGCTTCGACGAAATGGCATTCTATCAACCGTAGTAAAACCAGTTCTCTCAATCCAGCATTCTCCAAAAGTAAAGTGCTTTCCGTGGGGTATACTACGGTTGATCGAATGCCATTTCATCGAAGAACGTTTTAGAGATTGGGCACGTTTTATCGAAGCACGGTTTTGAGGAAGCAGCCTCAGTTAAAAGAAACGCCGTTTATCGAAAAGGGGACGCTTTTTAAAAAAGGGCTTTCCTACTTCTCGCGTGTGTCACTGGTGCGCGTGTTAAGCCATGCCCCCCGCTGCGCTCCCGCCGCTGCGCGGCGGCAGTCTGCGGCGGCTCATTACAAAAATGTGAACTCACCCGATTTACCCGTACACATCGCTTCGCAGCGGCCAAATTCGCTAAAAGGAAGCTCATCGCCATTTTCTCTAAACTGGGTTCTCTATAAAGGCATTCGATAAACCGGGGTTGGTAAAAAGGCGTTCGCTAAAACGAGCTTCTCTAAACCGCATGCCGCCGCTTTCCGAGCATACGGACAGTTGAAAGGGGCAGTGCAACAATATTTGGAAGGAATGCTTCTCACTTTACACAAGCATATTGGCACTAGTGGGACAAAAGTATACTTGCATACGCCATTGACCAAGAAGCTTCTTCGTCGCCGCTTAATTTGAAGGATAAAATCGGACGTTTTCCTTCAGTCTCTTCTTCGTCGCCGCTTAATTTCAAGGATAAAATTGGACGTTTTCCTTCAGTCTCTCCTTCGCAAAACTTGATGACAAAGTTGTCGAAATTGCATTGTTAGCGTCGTCAACAATGCGGTCCCCAGGATTTCGTCACAAAGTTTTTTAATTCCCGCAGTGACCATCAATGAATCGACATGCATATAGGTAGTGGCCCGTGCCCAATCACTGCGATGATGGCAATAGCTGAACCCTAACAATGTCTAGAACTCACTGGATGTCATGTACTTTCGAAACCTCAGCGCGTGGTGATAATAAACGTTGGAAAATATAATTGGCTCCAAATCGTGTGCCTGCTTGTTCTGGCTGCGAGTAAAAAAAAATGCTGCTCATTTTCTAAACTTTTTTGGCGACTGCCTTTGTGTGGAGAAAAAAAAACAAAAACAGTGTGTGTTCTACAGGTTATGAACACCAAGGAATAATTCTAAGCGGTTTTTACTGAAAGTACAAAAATTGTTGTATCGCCCTTTGAACTTAAACATGACACGTGCCATGCACTGACGCATCGCTCAAAGCCAGACTATATAAATCTGCACAATCGACAGTTTCCTACATGTTTCGCTGCAAGAAGACCAGAAGGGAGCTTTCTAGCATGGGAAATCTCAAAGTGGCTGGAGATTCCTCGAGGCTGAAGCATTCTAGACGCTGCAATTGGGCCTCGACAGTGTGCACACCAAGAGAGCCGGACACCCAGTGACCACAAGGAAGATGCCACGCGCGTCGGCCAGGAAAAAAACGCTCCGGAAGGATACCGAGAAACCGCCGACTGGCCGGCTTGCAGCCTGCACAGTCGACAAAAATGCTTTATTTGTAAGGCGTCGAAAGCACGGTCCTTCGTTTGTGATCGGTCACACACTCAGCAGTTCGTGAGCGGCTCGTCCTCGGCGCGGCAGCGACCCTTCCGCCGTACGAAACGGTGGCGACTAGCCCCGCGCATGTCCGGGCACGAGCACTCACTGTCAGTCGCTACGGCACTGTCCCCTCAGCAGACGGAACGTTCCGCCCGCCACAGACATCACGTGCCCGAGGCACCAGGTACCACGGGCCGCTTGCGTCCTTCCGCCGGCCGTCGCTACCGTGCGGAGAGGCACTTTCTTTGGTAGGTGGCGGGCCGGCAACCGTGCCCAATGGGGGAGCCCCTCCTGGGGGGCATGCACAGCAGAAGGAGGGGCCTACAGTGCGGTCCGCACTCCGCCTAGTCACTCGATGGGGGGCTTCTTCTTCAGGGAGAAGCAGTGGATCCGGAAGTGACTGCACATCTGCTGCACCTACAAGCGTTGGAAGGTCTGCTAGTTAAAATGACATAGAAATATTTCACCTCAAGAGTGAAGTGGGCACTTCTTGATATACCTTTTGCCGAATTACCCAAGCACCAAGGAATGTGCTGCGAGTGTAGTTATGCACACTGCACATATTGGCACCTGCAGCAGTATCTGTTCTAAAGCAAAAATCTCGAACGTGTGGCCTTTTGCATGCGTGTTTGTCCGTGCCTTATTTTGGCTATTTATTTGGAATCATTTATACAGATAGAGTAAAAGCATGCAGTGTCAGCACCTAGTACATTCCCAGCATTCTCCTCTGTGCTTGGGCAATGTGGCAAAAGGTTAATTGCTTGACAATCGTACGTGTCCCAGGACCTGCTCTTTGAAGTACTAATACAGGTTATGACGCACCGTGCACTCACGAGGGCGCCCATCAAACCATTCTGCCAATCTTGGCCATGAGGCAGCTAAGTAGCTGCCTCGCCTCAGACACGATCACTAGGTCGTGTCGCCACGGGGTCTATCGGGATCTCGAATTCGGCTCCTGACGTTCCGCCTTCTCTCCTAGCCACTGGATGGCACTGCAGGCGCCCCGTGGCGGGCAAGGAGAAACCTCCTCCCCCATCGATCGATATATACTCGGTGGTCCAGGGGGCGAGAGCCTCTTAGAACTTCGGACGCCATCGAGCCCAGGCAAGTGTAGGGCGACCGGATCTAGGGTAATCGCGGGACACAAGGCCTGGGGTCCCTCTTTGTGTTTAGCTTTGGGCTTAACGTGCGTTTGTAAATATTTGTGTAATGTCACATGTATTTGTAGTTTAGATTGAGTGTTTTGTAGCGTTGTGTTTTATTGTACCAATAAACGGGGAGCAGAATCCCACTCCCGTGAAAGAACCAGGCTGGACTCGGCTTGTTGACGGACACGTGGGAAATGGGAAATCGGTGGCGGTACGCGATTTCCTACAAATGGTCCCTCAACAAACCGAGTCCAGCCTCGTTCTTTCACCGGAGCGGGATTCCGCTCCCCGTTTATTGGTACAATAAAACACAACGCTACAGAACACTCACTCTAAACTACAAATACACGCGACATTACACAAATATTTACAAACGCACGTTAAGTCCAAAGCTAAACACAAAGAGGGCTTTCAGGCCTCGTGTCCCGCGATTACCCTAGATCCGGTCGCCCTACACTTGCCTGGGCTCGATGGCGTCCGAAGTTCTAAGAGGCTCTCGCCCCTGGCCCACCGAGTATATATCGATCGATGGGCGAGGAAGTTTCTCCTCGCCCACCACGGGGCGCCTGCAGCCCCATCCAATGGCTAGGAGAGAAAGCGGCATGTCAGGAGCCAAATTCGAGATCCCAATCGACCCCGCAGCGACACGACCATGTGATCGTGTCTGAGGCGATGCAGCTACATAGCTGCCTCGCGGCCAAGATTGGCAGAATGGTTTGATGGGCGCCCTTGCGAATGCACGGTGCGCCATAGGGTCAATGCCTGCAGCTTGTATACTTTGACGAAATACAGAACTAGGCTTTGTGTGCAATCTATTAGTAAGTGATGCGCAGAAAATCTTAACCATGTGGACCGCAATTCTGAGCATAACGCTGACTCTACTGTTGAAGTCGACGGGATCTGTAAGTGTTAAACGCGGCTTCACGCTAGTTGAGGCTAGAGAGCAGGCCATAAGGTTTTGCACCAAAACAGCTTGAAGCTTGCCTGCCTGCAACATGCCTCCCATTACTGCAGCTAGCATCCCCCAGCTTCCGTAAACTGGAGTGCCTGCATTTAGCCGTGCCCCCATTAAAGGAACAGATTATGTGGCGAAAGGGTACTGCCAAATGCATGGGCAAAACTGTAAACCACCTTTGCAATCTAAAGTGTTCCTCAGCACAGAAAAGACTGCACTTCAGCTTCGAGTTCACAAAAGGGACGTTCGGTAGCAGCAAAAGGTTTAAATGAGCAAAAACACTCAATATCAGGATGTGTAGCTTGACAAATATAACAAAAAAGAAGCTAGGGGATGAACTCTCAACATTGTGGAATCCCAAGACTGAAGAACAAAGAAGGGGAAGAAGCGCAGAAAGGTCTCCAACTCTGCCACAACCTTTCTTTCCCTTCCTGGTTTAAGAGGAAGGCCCACAAATGACCTTCAGACAATCAAAACATTTGGCCCATTTTCAATCGTGCTTGAACTGACACCTCGGTTCGACGAAAGCAGTTATGCAAGCATTTTGCCTCTGCTTTCCAGGATGACATTCTAGCAGCGTTCGACAAGATCACCGAAGTTTCTAGCAAGCCACGACACTTGCCTCAAAACTTGTTTCTCTTGTTTCAACACAGAATGTGTTATTGGGGTGGGTTTCACGAGACAAGCAATGCACTTGACCAACGTGCAGATCACGTGACATCACACAACATCACACGACTTGATGTCAAGTTTGGATGTCATGTGACGTCATGCAAAATCATGTGAAGTGATATTATGACATCACATGACTGTGACATCACATGACTGACATCACATGACACCCTGGTCCCATCACCCGGTGTCAAGTTTGAATGACCCATGACATCCTATGACAGGACATCCAGTGTTGGGTAAAGTAAATTTAAAAAGTACCTGGAGGAAAATACAAAGTAAATGAGTGGTTATGTACTCCAATGATAATAGTAAGCACACTGAGTGCAATGTACTTCAAGTATTATAAATACAATGTACTTTTAAAGTACACAGTACAATTACTTTTAACACGGTCATTCATGATACCCTTTCAATCCCCTACAGTTTTTTTTAACTGGTATGTTTTGTTTTAGGTGTAATCAGGGGTGCATCAGTTATTCTCGGAAATGACGGCGAATATAATTGGGACGTCAGCCCAGTAGCTTCCAGAAGCACTCCTCTTGTGGATGAGTGTCCTCTCCTAATATTTTTAACCTTCTCGCTTGCGCTGTCCGAGCAAAAAGTAGCGAGAGTTTGAAATGCTGTGGGAAAGCCGTTCCCAGCACAAAAGTACAAAAGCGCAAACAGAGTGATGTGTCGTCTGCTAGCACTTCTGATGAGAGTCGAATTTCCGGGCAGTCCCAGTACTTCTTCAGAATTGACAAAGCATCATTTTGTGACACAAATTTAACGAGATCCAATTGGGAGAATGTATAAGCCGGAAGTTGTACTTTCCTCCGAAAGTACTTTAGGTGAAGTACAAGTACATACTCAAAAGATGTACTTCAAGTAAAGTACAAGGCACTTAAAGTACTTCCCAACACTGCTGACATCACACACGCATCCTGTGTATTTTAGTTTATCCAATATCATTAAACATGCTCTTCCTCTTGCCACAAAGCCACAGCTGTGCCTTAAAATGCGGTTTTTAAACATTGCATGACGCGAAAGGCGAGAAAGACGCAATGGAAACAGGAATGAAAGGGAAACTGGCAGCAGCTTTACGAAGCGAGAATTGTCAAATTTGGGAGTTTTACGTGCCAAATGCATCTGGCACGGCCTGGCGAAGGATTGAGGATTAATTTCTACCACTCGGAGGCCTTTTGACAGGAACTGAAATCTCGGTGCCTTCTCCGCCACGAGCCACCAACCGGTTGTGGGTACCTCGAATGGGATTCAAACCCGCCACCTGGGGATCCGTAGGCCAGCGCTTCGCCTCAACGCCACCGAGGTACTTCCGAAACGTGAATCGTACCAAGAGGCCCGGGTGCCGCCAGGAGGCCGGACTCACCACGCAGACGCCGTAGTGTATGTGCGCCAGCGTCACGGCCACGGCCAGGACCTTGAGTAGGAGTGCCTCGTCCACGTCCAGGTAGAGGGAGGCGGCCAGCGAGGCGGCTACCGGCAGGAGCAGCAGGTTGAAGGCCTCGCAGCGTGTCGACGTCATCTGACTGATGATGAGCCGGCACTGAGAGCAACACGCGCAACCACTTGAAACACCCTCCCTTTAGTGGTGGCACCATCTGTTTACGGCGTGGGTACAGCGCCTGGAATGCATCTCCGTCTGGTGTGCTTAGAGTTCAAAAAGGTGGTCTCTCGAATGACGTCGAACGAGTGTGGTGCTATCACCAGCTGCCATCTTGGTGATGTCGCGGCAGCGGTAGTGGATGTGGCAATTGCCCGACACCAGCCGGAGATGCATTCCAGGCATCATAGGTATTCTGCCTATACAGCAGCCAAAGCAAGGGTGTGGGCTGGTTTGCTGAATATTTGTATCATAACATTAATACAAAATTTTACTTAAAGTGCCTTAATTAGAACAGCCACAACAGTCTTTTAATTGGTCTACTACCTTCGCGAGAGCACTGTAAGAAAATATATCCCACTCAAGATACACTACATATACAAACTATTACAGAAAACAAAAAAACTAGGTCAGTTGGTAACTCGCAAATGCTCAACGGGCAGTGGAACTCAGAGGTTGGGCTGATACGTGCATGTCAAGATCCGGAGTTGCGATACTGTTATGCAGTGAATAGAACCGTGAGAAGAAATTAAGGTTACATGATTTCAAGGTTTTTTTATTTCTTCTTAATTCGAGGGGGGGGGGGGGGGATTTGGGGCAATATTTCTCCCAAAGATTTTGTGTTTTTAAGTATTTATTTCTCGAGCCCAACCAAAAATTTGGCGTTTATCTGGGCTCATGTTGAAAAAAGCCTCTTAGGACTCCGGGGGGCTCCAGAACAGGCATGTGCGAGCAACTGCTCTTGTGTAATTACGGGTCACAAGGCGTGGGGGCCTCCTTGTGTTTAGCTTTGGTTTTCCGTGCGAGTGTGAATCTTTGTTAATGTTGCGTGTATTTGCAGTTTAGATTGGGTCTTTTGGGCATTTTGTTTTATGAACCAATAAAAGGGAGCGGAACCCCACTCCCCGAAAAGAACCAGGCTGGACTCGGGTTGTTGACGGACCACGTGGGAACTGGCGTATCGGCTGTGGTACGCGAATTCCTACAAGGTTCACATTTTTATATAAAAACATTCTTTTTTTTTATGCAAAAGCATTACCTGTCCTATGGAGCGAGCCGTGCCAAACGGCACCTTAAATCCTTTCTCCAAGTGAAGCCAGCTCCCAGCCATGAAATCATGCAAAAGGCCTAGACACGGCACCTAGTTTCCCCGATCCCAAAGGAGCGAAGTAAAGCTGATGGATTTCGGCTTCAGTCCCATCGGCTGGCGCGCGTCAATGAGGCTCCCATTGGCCGCTGTGCGTCAGTTTCAATGACCTCCACCCCTAGGCGCTGCGTGTCCGCAAGGCAGCGGCTCCACCGCTCCATGCCCAAGCCCAGCGCGCCCCAGCTCGATCGTCGACGCAAGTACGCCGCACACGTAAGAGAGTGGAAGAGCGGCGTGCATGCTTTCGCATTTACAACTCATAAGAAGTGCTTAGGTGTACCTCAAGCCTTTTTTAATAAGACGACTTATTTTAGGGGGAAAAAAAAGGTTAAAATATTGGTTTCTCGGATATAAAAAAAAATTAACGGGGTCAAGTGCAACACTTCAGTTCAGGTGAGGCATCTAGCCCCTCCCTCCAACATTACTCCCTTAAAATTTCAGCAAAATTTCAGAAACATGCATATTCCCTAAAGGACCGATTGATGAAAATACATTCACCTTCTACCCACACAATGTGTATAAACTCACATGTGTGCTTTGGAACCACCGTCTCGCGTTACTTTGCAGCATATAAAGCAGTGTTGGAGCTAAATTGAGTCAGAGTTTGGTGGAGCCTTCACCTCAACAGTTGTTGTAAAACAAGTTTGGCTTCTTGCAGAGCACTACCGATTCACTCCTTTATGCGGTGAATTAATGTATATGTGGGTGAATTCTAGATTAGCTTACCCTTATTTTATCGAGACATACAAGTTTTCAATGCCAAAAACATTGTTTGTTCCTCCGACAACCGAATTCTCGTAAGAACTAGTTTCTGCAGCACATCAATGATGAGCCAAACTTCCTTTTTTCTTGACATGAAAATTTACGAGTCGACTGATGCTTGACTATCATTATTATTAAAAAATAGCCCTAGATTTTTTTTTTTTTATTTCATTTATTGTTGGTTGATCTCTACTACTAGTGAGTAAATTTTCGAGATCATAGAGATAATGCAAAATCTTTTCCGCATCGGCCGCCACTCCTAGCATGCCGATGCAAAGCTCGACCCATGTGTTCTGGTGCAAAGCGGTAAAGCTCAACGCGAACGGCGGAGCGACAGTTTTTCGGAAACGTCCTCAACACCCAGGCACGCTACAGGCTCGATTTGACCAACCTGCTTACTTTCAGAACAGGCCGAAGTGAAGCGTTTCCATTCTACGAAGGTCACAATCGTGCCGCACGCCCCTTTTTGAGGACCGTCTCTTTCGCCTTTTTGCTTCGCTCAAGCTCGTCTTTACACGATTCTTCACAAAAATGTCATCTTGGCACGACGTGTAGCAAGCCTGCCACCGTGGCGCAGTTCGGAGCAAATAGTGCGCCGCTTCCGTTACCGCCGGGTGGCGCGAGCCGCATCCCGATAAAAAGGGTTCAGTCGCGTCCGTCCACTCAAACGACCCAGAACAAGGGCCCGCGCACTATGCGGCCATCAAGGATCTCCGAGCCACCACGAGCAGCAAACACGCCGAGGCTCGACGAGAGTACGGCGCAAGGCAGCAGACTTGCGCCAGCTATCGCCGCATCCCTACTGAAAATATTGCGGGACTGCTCGTTTCTTTTATTAGAGGACAGCCCCAATTTAGTGTTTTCAGACTTCCCCGATCTTGCTAAAACCACACAAACCACACTTTGTGTGGGTTTCGCGCTTGTTTTTTCAATGTGCGCCGCAGACGGTAGTCGGGGCAAGACAGAGCAAATGAGCGTGCCACACGGGCGCTACCTCGCATGTGGCTCTTGTACGACGCACAACGTCGACGAGGCGAGCGGTCGCACAATACGACGGCACATCGCTCTTGCTGGCATGTTTTGCCGGGAGCCCCATTCTTCTGGAGCAGCTGTGCTACGCAGCTCGGTGGCTATTGGGCAAGAGATTGAACTATAGGGGGCGCTCTGACCCGTTTGTTGTCCCCATACTCGGTGTTTACTCAACACAAGGCCTGTGCACATGCCCAGAGGCCTTATGGGCATGTTCATATCACCTTCTACAATGGAGTGCGGGGCACAGTTTAATGCAAAAAATACGAACAATCGACGAAGCGACGTTAAGTGCTGGGTCTATCCTCAGAGAATGCGAGCTTGACCACCTCGGCTTTTGTGCCGAGTTGGGACCGTGCATGCTGCATTGTTCATGCAGGCCGGAGTCGAAACAAAAGAGCCCCTCCTTCCCCTCTCCGGAGAACACAAACTCCAGCCGAACGCTGACGCCGCGTTCGGTTATGTCGGCCGAGCGCCGAGTCATTGTATTTGTTGTCCCCGTCTGTGTAGTTCTAAAGTTAACCGCTTGGGGCGTCGCGGTCGCTCCTCCTCCCCAATAATATCCAACTGCATTGACCCACTCAAACTTTATACCTCCATACAGGGTGTTTTTTTAAGCTTAACAGATTTGTTTAACAAAAGCCGTGAAAGTTACTTTTATGCCGCTTGTGGGGAGGTGAGTTGTATGGCCAGGGGGACATAGTAATCGCCAGATCAACATAGATGACGCTAATCGTAACGATCAGCCGGCTAATTATTTAATATTCATTAATTAACTTTTTAATTAATGAAAATATACATACGGTTCCAATTAGAAACTTGCTCAGCGTCATTGAAAACCACGAAATCAGTAATTTTCAGAAAGACTTTGAGCGCGTGAGAAGCGTATTAGTGCACTAAAGTTACCACTCGTGGAGCAGGTACAAAGCTAGCGGTTGCACTAAGGCACCCGTGCGATTTTTCCATCTCTTACCTAGCCCCAGCCTTGTACCTGCTCCATGAGTGGTAACTTTAGTACAATACTACACTTCTCACGCACTCAAAGTCTTTCTGAAAATTACTGATTTCGTGGTTTTCGACGACGCTGAGCAAGTTTCTAATTGGAACTGTATGTATATTTTCATTAATTAAAAGGTTAATTAATGAATATTAATTAATTAGCCGACTGATCGTTACGATTAGCCCACTATAATATGTCCCCCTGGCCATATAACTCACCTCCACTAGTGGCATAAATGTAACTTTCACGGCTTTTTTTTAAACAAATCTGTTAAGCTTAAAAAAAAAAACCTGTATATAACCTTAACGTCCGTAACGCTACCAGCGAGTCACTTGTTCGTGGCACTTGTCCATGACAATTTTCGTATAGAAAATGACTCGTAAACACATTATGGGTTAAAACGTGGAATTCTACGGATAAAGTATCTGGGAAAATGATACAAAACTAAATTGAGAGAAGAAAGAACCATGCTTCACTAAAAGACAACGACAGTAAATGTAACACATCCAGTAAAATGTATGGCTCGACAAAAAGGCAAGAAAAACTAACACTAAACAAACCATAATCGGGTTGGCTCAGACAAATTTTAAAGTCAACGGGTGTGACAAGTTTACCTACGGTGCTAATAAACGTTTAGTGAGTGCCGTGTCAAAGGCAGAGGTTAATGACCGATCGGCGATGTTTACCGGTAAGCTATCGCCACCTGTTCATTGATGGTGCGAGAGAAAAAGGAACATCCAAACGAGTCAATCTTTAAATCAACAAATGACATCTGAGAATCTACAGCCTGCCTTTGCCCGACTGTTGGTGCACCACGTTGCCGGAACAACCACAACTGATCGCAAAGAAATGAGAGGCAAAGTAAAGACAGTGCCAAGAAAATCAATCTCACGCCTAGTGTAGAAAAAAATTAAATATTTGAACAAACATGCACTCTCACATTGGGGTGAGACCATGGTCTAGCATTCAGTTTCTCCCAACCAGGAAAGGTAAGCCACCAAGGGCAGAAGGTAGCCCATCTTTTACTAATCACGAGTTTCACAATTATAAGGTCCTTTCTGCTTCATTCCTTTTGGCTTCCACCGGATTCCGAAATATCATTAATGGTGCACGTTAAATGAATGTAAGCAACGATTGCAGGTTCCACAGTCATTTGATAGCAATAAATACCCAATTTTCTTTTAGAGCGCAGCTCTTGGGGGCCTGTTTCCGGCTTGAGCGGCGTCGGCATCGGCGTAACTGTGAGGTCATGTGACCCCCCCCCACACCCCGAGGTCACGTGACCCCCCCCCCCCCAGGTCACGTGACCCCTCCCTCCCAGGGTCACGTACCCCACCCCCCCCCCCCCGTCACATGACCCCCCAGGTCACAAGACCCCTCCAGGACACGTGCTCCCCAGGTCACGTGACCCCCCCCTCCCCCCCTGAGGTTACGCGACTCCCTCCCCTCGAGGTCAGGTGACCCCCCCCCCCCCAGAGGAGATTGAAGAATGAGGGGAAAAGGAGGAGAAGGAGGAGGGGTATACCCTCCCCTCAGTACCCTGCCCTGCTCCTCCTTAAGAGCTGCGCTCCAATTCGGCATTACACGGATCTGTAAATGGCTTTGACTTTTTATATGTTTTTTTGTTTTAGTCAGATGATTTTGGGACACCATAAGTCCCCTCTGACTACCATTCGGGTAAGAAAGATAAAGTGGCTACGAAGCAGCATAGCCAAAGCTCCCTCAGCACCAGATGTATTTTTCAAAAGTTAACTTACCTTTGTACTTTTTCATAAAGCGGCGTAGAATGCATTGTATGTTTGTGTTTACCTGTTATGATCTGCTCCGATCAGTTTGGATCTGTTTTGCCCTTTTGGCTTTGGTGGCTTAAGGCTGGTTCCCACATGCATCACAGAGCTAAATCAACACTAGAAACAGAGCAGTGTTGACTTGAATGGACCTTGGCAGTGATGAAGCACTGCACTGCTAATTTAGGAAGAAGTCAACGCTATTTTCAGCATTGAGTAATAGCACCGAGGTGGCACTGTGGTGTATGTAAAAAAATTAAAGGAGGACGCTTAAAACAGCTTACGTGTAGGAATGCGAAAGGGAAGGGGGGAAAATGTTTTCGAGTAATGTTTCTACACGTATTAAAGTTTAGGACCATGTATAGGACAACGTCCTAGAGATCGACGCCAGGTAAGGCATCTAGGACGATGTCGAGAACGATGCCTAGAGGATGACACTTAAGGAGGCTGTGGCGCATTTGAGTGGGCGGCCACATTTGCCTGCAAAAGCCGCCGTAGATGTAGATGCTGCTGCCGATGTCGAGGCCATACATGTAGACGCGGTTGCCTCACAGTCCATCCACAAATATCCGAAGCGCATCTTCTGCACACGGCACTCCAGCGGTGACATCATGCTCCCGCACTTAACTGTGAGCAGCGCATGCTTGATGACTTATTTTTATGGCCATCATTCGCAGGACAGGAGTAAGTTTTCACGCCAAGGTACAGAACCTTTACTCCGGAGCGAGACAGAATAAAGTTTGCAAGACAACCGGAGAAGGGGGAGACATGCACCCGGGCCACCCACCGAGATGTTTGAGAAGACGGTGCCCAGCACCAGGTAGAAGATGCGAGGCTCCCTCTCTAGGATGGAGTCCCTGGAGGCCAGCACCCAGGCCAGGGACAGCAGGAAGAGTGCCAGCACAGAGCCCATTGGACGCACCACCTCCAGGAGCGAGCGCTGCCGGAGGCGGCCCTCCACCCGCGCGCTGGGACCGCCGGAGAGGCGGGCGAGAGCCACTCGATAAGCCACGCTTCGGAGCACACTGAGTGCAACGCGTCTTTGACCGGTTTGGCTTAACACGCCCTAAAAAGTGGTCCTTCAATTTTCGCACCATGACGTCACTTAAGTGTCGTGCCGCCAGATGTGATCCTGGCGGTGTCAAAGCGGCGGTGACGGATGTGGCAGACGCCCGTTCTGTGCAGGTCGCCTGACACCCCACGCAAGTTTCAGTGGCCAGAAGTCGAGGCTCGCATTTGCACCTACTTTTTTGCCGGAACTCCTACTTTTTGCCAGAACTTCTAGCACCAATTGCCAAGATCGCAACATTCGGCGGCGTGACACTCCGGCTTCTGCAACGTCATTTGTCGCCGCTTTAGGACCACTTTCGATTCCCCCGAAATAGGTCACTAAGCGCACCAGTCAGTAGACACACTGCGGGCACCATACCTCAGAGTAACGACACTTCAGTCATCTTGTTGTTTCAAATCATAGTTGTCAGTTGTCTCAGTCTATCCAAAATCAGAGGAATTCCTTTTCTGCAATGTTCGCTCCCACTATGTTTGCTGCCACCATTGTGCCTGGATGCTGCATCGTGCATTCCGGACCAGTAGGTTTGTCAACGACAACGTAACAGGCGCCGCCGTCTCGAGCTCAGTCAGCGAAATCCCTTCGGTTTAACGACTGGTTCAACCGAGGCAGGCGAGCTAAGTTGGGTTCAATTGTCTTTAGCGGCTTAACGACAGTTAACACCACCTTGTGACTGTGACCGAGTCAACTGTTGTTCGCTCAGTGGCAGATGAGAGGACATGCATACTAGCAAAGGCATTAGACACCTCCCACTTTCGCTGTAGTCGTCGATGCATAGTGCCCCCGACGTTCCTCTACCACCAAAACAATCTCGCATTTTGGACAGGCTGCACCTGAGGGAGCTCAGCATCTGCCAGACTCACCAGTGAATGTTGTAGAGACACATTGGGATGGTCATAAAGAAGGAGCCCCCTGCAAGATAGAAAGTGGTCTACTTTCAGTCTGGGATACTTTACAGGCTGCCGCTTCAGTATTACATAATAAATGGGCAAGAAAAAGCCGAGCACATTTGACCACTAATGTGACCCACATACTAAGAAACTGATGCGCAAGCTCCAAAACTATAAACATTCTAGACTAAACTTCCAAGATCTTGGCTTGGCAAATGCACAACCCTCCAATCGCCATTTAAAGTGTAATCCTGCTCTATTTTGCACGCACGGGAAGGATGAACTTCTGGACACCCAGGAGGATAAACTTTTGAACACTCAGCTTAAAATTACTTCATTAAAGTTACCCCATAGTCCAGTGGTTCTCAAACACTAATGCTTTGGAGACCCCTTCTGGATCGGCGGAGGGGGGGGGGTTACTGAACGGTTACAATGACAAAAAAGTTTATTTTGATGCAACTTCGAAGCTCGGAAACTAAGAATAATCAGCCTTACTCACTCGGCACACAAGGTATGGTCCATTTAGCCTTGTAAAACAACCACCATTAGTAAAAAGATAAATGAAAAAAAAAAAAAACTTTATTGACAAAAATAATCCTTGGAGGGGAACAAGGGGACAAAGAACAAACACAAATCTCTAAACACGGCTGGGTGACATCCTTGTTCAGCTTGCTTGCACTTTTGCATTTAATTGCATTATCATCAAAACTTTATTGTTTAGTTTTACTGACAGCTGAGGACTTCAAGAACCCTAAGGCGGCCTTGAGGGACCCCAAAGGGTTTGTGGACCCACGTTTGAGTACCACTGCTGTAGACTGTTATTCATAATAAAGCGCACTATGCAAAGGTAAATCTATTATGAAGGACACTGTGGTAGTCTTTTAGGGGCACACCGACAATGTTTAATCAACTATCATTAGAGAACTACAGTAATACTCAACATTCCTCTCTGCTAGAAGTCATGCAGAATGCCTGGAAAAGGCGCCTCCTAGAACACATTTGTAAAAAAAAATAACTTAGTTCCCTGGAGACATTGTTTTGAGAGATTAAACAACTTTTTGGCCTTCTCTGTCTTTGATTGAAATGTAAACTTTTTGTGTCGTATGCTTTAAGTAAAAAAGATGGCAGTTTGATACTCTAGACTTATGTTACGGATAAAAATAACAGGAAGCGGGATGGCCAAAAAAACGTGTTTCTCGTTTAAGGCTCGTTAAATTATGAGGCGCTGGAGAAATGCAGCCTTCTGCGTTAAGTCCTTAATTCGAACTCTTTTTGTTCGCCTTCCGCCCATTGAAAAGCATGCGGGAAGGGCCTTTGAACACACCCGGTATCGCTGCGCCGCAGCGACACCAGGTGCGTTCCAGGCGGCAGGCACAAACCATACTGGTTGTGTGCTTGCCACCGCCGCTTATAGATGGCGGTAGCTGTCCAGGTAGGTTTGTGTCGACATACCGGACACGATCCTGGGGAACCTAGCCCTTAACAGCTCTGCTGTAGAAAAAGAATGAGTCTTTCCATCACAACGTTCTGCAAAGAAAAGCCAGAATTTTCCACAATGTGTGCTGCTTTTGGAGGGTCAGCAATTCCTTCACCATCACTTTGTTCTTCTCTTTTCTCCGTCCTTCTCTTCTTCTTCAGATCAGAAAGTCATTAACCTGTCCGTCTCTTTTTCGTCTCACACTCTTCTGCTGCACACGGTGACTTGGCTCCGCCCCATTGCGCTAGTATAGTCTCATTTCGCATGAAGTTCATCGTTTATAATAGAGGACCTCCCCAAGCAAGTGTGTGCGCATCAAGTTTCACTGCTCTGCACCGGCATGATGCTTCACCACTTCACACCGGCGTGCTATGAGCAGCAGCTGACATGACACAGCATTTCGGTTAGCTCAATCGGCTCACAAACTTTACTCGCTCTTTAGGTCGACACTCTTTCGTTGCGATTATAGATGAAACCCAACAAAAGGTCGACCTGCATTTGAGGAAGTGTAATAGTTTGTTGCAGCCTTGAAAGTTGTGAAATAAATGTCTGCATGAGTATTGCTTCCTGCCTCATCTATAGGCCAAGGGGAAATTGTGAGCAGCAGCAGAGGCTTTACTTTCGACGTTTCGAGCAAAGCCTGCTCTTTTTCGAGTGTAGGTAAATACAAGTTGCAGGATCTTTTGGGCAGACATCGAGAGGGAGAACGAAAGCAATATTAAAGAGACACAAGTTGACCCTATAAAATGCTCATACACAAGGGTCCACGTTTGCAACAACACACAGACATGCTATGGAGAAAAAAAAACACGCACAACTTGGAAGACTCGGTCGTGGCAGCCTCCAGGGAAAGCAAAAAATAACAGTAAAAGGAGGCGTTCCCTACATCCCCACGCCCACTTTAAAAGCAGAAATAACAAGTATATATCAAAACTACACGCATCACCAAAAACAAAAAAAAAATGAACAGATTAGTGAAGTGAACAGCAAGAGCCGAAGACAAGGAGATGATGCACGAAGCCATAAACCATCTTCTCAGTGTAACATGGGCCTGCTAGTTGAGGACATGCATTCCTTTTTCTCGTGTTTATGCTAAATTTTCTTTGCTTTTGAATCTATTACACCGACTGCGCGGTACCCGCTCCAAAAAAGCGTTATCCAATTGTTACTTTTTCCTGGATGATACATCTTCCCGAAAAACACAACTATGAGATCCAACCGCTGGGTAACGCAAGCCGCCCCCCGGATTCAAAGGGGGGCGGCATATGTATCCATCTATCCGCCCATCAAGTTTGCTGGACGAGGCAGAGCGGAGCAGCCCACGGCCGGCTTCACTCACCGTGCAGCATGAGCTCCAGGCACTCGCCAGCCCCAAAGCCCAGCACGGTGAACTTCCAGAACTGGTACGACTTAAGGTACGTCAGCACAAAGCTCGACAGCAGGATCTGGAGGGGGGGGAAGGTGCATATTAGGACAGCGTCCGGCCGGCCGCACAATGTGGGCCGGAATGTACCGAAAAAGTCTGACTCGACCCCATAAAAATCCCACCACGCGCCCGAAAAATTCAGCAGGTTTACTTCTCGCTCAATTTGGGGGACGGTGTTCCACGCGACGACGTCGGTAGGATAGTGTCACGACCCGACGTCACGTATGTCATGGGAATGGTGTCACGTGATGCTACATCATATGATGCAGTGGCACGTGACACTTTGACGTCATGGTGTTGTGACGTTATGTCACGTGGTACCGTGATGTCATGGTGCCACGTCATGTGACACAACTTTGAGTCAAGTCACGTGATACTACGAAATTTGTGTCCATGTCATAATCCAGCACTACTCAAAACTCGCTGCATGGTAATTTGTGTCTACATTAGTTTTTTCATACACTGAAGAAAACCATGCAAAACAAGTCACCCCCACACCAGCGGTTAGTCAGTGTGGGTTAGCCTGTTTTCGTCACAAGTTCAGGTCTGCACACTCCATTTTGAGCCACGTATTTAGCCACACTGGCTCGACCGCAACATCAAATATGATTGTAGAGGTGACAAATTTTGCACGAGTAGTGTGATGGTGGACATGCACAGCCCGAATGGACTCAGCAGCACACATGCTACAAAATTGGGAGCAGTCATATGTCGCCTTAGCACATGTCACCCTGACACTTTCCACGTTGGCGCGAGATTAATCCTTCACCGCCGCGCACATACGGGTTTTTGCTCAAAGAACAGCAGGTAATAGGCCTTCTCTTATTGCTTCTATGTACTAATCTAATGACTGCATTTGCACTAAAAGCACCAAAAGGCAAAGAGTAAATATGACGATGACACAAGTCGACTTTTGTTATCGTGGTCTTAAGAGGACATGCGGCAGGGTAACATTTTTTTCGTATTATTTACGATAACTACATCAAATTTTGACTATTTATAGTGCATCATTTCCTCTATAATTCTGGTGTTAGTTTCAATATATACATAGCTTGTATTTTTATGTTCTGTCGCAATGTCGTAATTGGATTATGGCCGTGCCCAAGTGCACCCCAGGCGAGCAAGATGGCAGCACCTGGAAGCCATGCTTGCAAACATGTATTCGCATCTCCAGCTTGTCGCCCACCCTCCCGCGGCAGAAACGGGAAGTGCTCTACTGAGGGTCCTCTGATTCTCCTGTTCAGCGAGCAAGGCGGAACCGCGCGCGATCATGGCTCGCGAAATGTCATTTCCGAACGCAAACAACACTCTTCACTGTCCCAACATAGTGCTGCAGCCGGTATGGGATTGTACCTTTCTAGAGAGTTTTAGTATTGTGTATAGAAGAAAACGAAAGTGTTGTGCATTTGCGTTAGAGTTCCGTGTCCCACACTGTGCGTGCGCCTCATCGCCTTGGCCAACCCAAGGCTGCAATTTTGGGCTCCGCACACGCGCTAAAGCAAACACACAGCGCTTGCGTTCGCTCATATATGCAATACTAAAAGTCACAACTGTTTCACCGGCTTTCAACGACAACGCAACACGCTGCAGTGAACAGGCGTGAAAGCAGGTGGGCATTCCTTCGAATTGGAAAGGCTGAGATTGGCATAACGACCGCCATAAAAATGAAAGTAACTAAATGTTATGAAAAGATTGGTAATCAAAAAAAAATTATATATCTTTTTTATTTTTATTTTTTTATTTTGGGGCATTTGGTCTGGAAGGATCGGCGACTTTGTAATTCTTGCAGATTGTCAAAAGTCGTGACTTGGATAGGAAAATACGCTTTACCCACAAAAATTACATTTTCTTTCATGGATTTCTCACGTTAGCAAGAATGTTTTGACTGATTTTAGACTATTTTTATATTATAACTTGGCAATTAAAAATGGTGCATTTGGCACCAGTGATGATTAATTAGCACACTTTTGATTAGATCATAAGCAAAAAATTATAATAGTTATTTAAAATTATATTAATTATATATTAGGCAGCTATAATAACCAACTTAATGGTACAAAGGCACGTCTAGAACCAGCTTCTGGAGCATCGAGTTGACCAAGAGCGAGGACCCCGAGGGAAGCCGAGGCCTCTGCCCGGCCGGAGGAGGACGCTCACCATCTGGGAGATGTCGTAGCCCCAGGGCAAGTAGAGGATGCCCGTGTTGTACTTCTCCCAGTGGGACAGGATGAAGCAGAAGTGGACATTGCAGAGGATCAGGAAGAAGCGCCAGGTGGAGCAGCTCAGCTCGGCCCGGCCAAACACCGAGTACAGGCAGACCGGCATGAAGAGGGTCGCCCAGCTGTCCAGGCCGTGGTCAAACAGTTCCCCTAGGGGCCCGCTGCTGCCCGTGTACCGGGCGTGCTTGCCATCTATGCCGTCTGCAATGGGGGCGACCGGTGAGGGGAACGTTAGAGGCCATTCTGCAAAACCGCGGCATACTTTGTGCGGTGCTGTATTACAATTTGTATTTTCTCGTGTAACCTGCCCGTGCCTGAAAAGGCCTGCACTATTTCAAATAAATAATAAAGGTTGGTTGCACCACCTTGCCATGCTTTTATGGCAAGTTAAAGTGTTGGAGCTAGTGAAATTGATTTCTTTTTATTTATTTAAAGTAGGTTTTGCCTATTAGGCTCTTGCTGTAATAATAAGAAAGCCAATCCTTCCCTTTCCCTTGTAAGTAATTCAACACTCTAGTAGTTGCCTATTGATTGGCCTACACTTCCCTGCAGTGCACAGTCGTTCTGCAGAGAAGCATAGCCGAGGCACAGGTGGGCTAAGTCCCAACCAATTCATTAGCCCCCTGTCAAAGACATTGTTCTTCCTGACATGAGAAGTCTCCGGCTGCACAACACACAGAATGCTCCAGAGAGCTGTTTGGGGGAACTGAAGGCAAGATACAAACAAGCAGTTGCGCCAAGAATACTGCTGCACTTCATGACTCACAGTGGCTGACTCAACTAATAGGAAGTATAATAACCAGCTCGGAGCACGTGGAGCGAGAGCTCACGGTGCAGAACTCAGGGATCCTGGGTTCAATCCCCACTCCTGCCCGTTTCGATCTGGGTGTGCGGTCGTGCATCACTACTGCGTGGTGCACGTTAAAGACCCCAGGCTAGCGGTTGTACTGCACTGGCTAAATTGCTCATCTACAGCTGGGAGACTCGTCGCCCATTGAGGTAGACCAAGTTCTAGGCCGAATAAACATACACACAACCCAATTTTTTATAATGGTTCCATGTTTTTGTATAAATTCTCGTATTTTGTGGTTCCAAGGGTTCCGTGTTTTCATATAAATTTGAAAAAAAATCCGAACAACACTAGCCAGTAAAAATGTTGCCACTTCAGATTTATCAAAAAAAAAAAAAAAAAACTTAAGACATTCAAATTTACAATGGAAAAAGAAAAAAGAAAAGACAGTAAATTTGGCCGGAGCACAGGGCCAGTGGTCTCAAGAAGAGGCCATTTCAGTTTCCATTTAAATCTCGAACTATTGATTAATGGGTGTTTACCGAATAGCTGCAAGTTCATTCAGGACAATGGGCCATTGCCTGAAAGCCACTATTCTGGTTACCAGTTTGGACCACACTATTTGTGCTTTTTAGGGGAGGAGAGTCATATTTTTATGACAGGGAAAAATATGAACCCATAAATTTCGTACAAGGCAGCTGCAGTTTCTGTACTTCCCCTGTGACTACATTCAGGTGTTCAGTGCTTTTAAAGTTTAGACGTTCATTCAAGCAACACTTGTTTACAAGTTTTGTCGAGGCATGGATAGTACTTTTGAAGGCAAAGGCGACATCCAGTCGAGGAAATATCATTCGGTGCGGGTGATTTCAGGGTATGTTTGTGTTTGTCTATCATTTATTTTTTTTCAAATTTTGGAAAATTAAAAACACAGCAAAATTGAATTCCAAAATTCAGAGAATTGAGAATCCAGCAAAAATAAACTTAGATAAGCCCCAAATTTTTCATTAAAAAATAAACTAAACAAATACCTTCTCAATTAAAAAAAAAGAAAAACAAAAAAAAAAAAAAACATGAAAACATAGAATTTGATATATTATACCCAATACTGTAAACGACTTATTTTCGCGAGGGCCTAATTTCCTCCAACATTGCAACATGAAAAATATTGCGAAAAATTGATCCAGAGGTTATATCTCCCCGTGCTATGAAATGTGGTCATTCCAAACCCAATCCAAAAATTTTGTGTTCATGAAATAGTTCCGAAACCCACGCGCCAAAGAATTCGTGAAATACCAAGCTCGCAAAAATACAGTCGTTTGCACATATTGTCGCACATCGTGGATGGCACATACGGTCGACGTTAGCGAAGATCAAGCCAGTGATTTTTAGGATGGCTCCTCAACTTCGCAACCCAAAATGCAAGGACTTCCTGTGCTTGCTGTACCGCCAAAATGTAGCTGCAGCTTTTACTGTTCCTGCAAAATGCCCTAACATGAAAGCGAGACGAGTCTTCTGTCCCGAGTAACATTTCAAAACTGTTTTCTTACTACACGCTGCATGATTATGTCACCACCAAACTGATTTTCTGTGTACCCCGTACTATATACCGTGATATTCCGATAGATGCCCCACCCCCGAAAGATAACCCGCCCCCTATTTTTGGCTCGATTTGCTATTTTCTTTTAAACACCGAAAGATAGCCCACCCCCAGTAATCCTAGTGTTGGGGTCAATGACGACCTCGCCGTAAATGCGGCTAGTTAGCTATGGCGGTGCATAAGCAAGCATTGCTGACTGGGAAGTACTGTCACCTTTGCTTCGTTGTGCCTCGCCCCAATAACAAGATTGGCAAAACATTATAATCTAAAACAGTGTTTGTTTGTTTTTTCTTGCTTTTCTAGATTGTTCATCGAAAGTTAGCCCGCTCCTTAGTTTCCACCCGATTTTTTTCTTGTTTTTAGGTGGACTATCTCTCAAGATATTACGGCAAGTAGGTTTATTTTTCTTTGAATACGGGAGTGTTCATTGGGTGCTTCTGTTTTTTTTCCAAAGATCCTGCGTTTTTCAGTATCAATATTTGACGTCGGATGAAAAATTACGGATCATAGGGGCTTATGTTGAAGAAATTAGGGCACGGTCCCCAATAATTTGAAAACATCCCCATACTAATAAGAAAAAGAAATGAAATGAGATGTATGGTTCTCAAGGCAGAAGCCTCGCAGACAGTTCTTTGGGGCTTGTGTTTCAAGACAGCTCGAAACAAAACTGTTGACAAAGAGTTATTATACCTATATTTATATTTATATAGAAATATATACATATTTCCCCTTAAATCACAATATCACGCAATCACGCTACATGCTCTTCACATCGTGATGTTGCACCAAGTCGCACGATGGGCTCGTGCGATCGTGATGTCACGAGAAGGTGCATGACGCACTCGACCGATCACGATTCACACGAAGTCACACGATGCACTCGTGTGACCGACACTACTACACAACTCCGGTGAATCTTGTGATTAATCATGCGACACCCATAGCGGTCAAGTGACCCGTACCGTATACTAAACTCGCAAACCCAAGCGTGACGAAGAAGGGGTCCGCAGGTGCGGCCTTTCTCACCTAGGGTGTGGGCGAGGAACTGGTTGAGGGCGCAGACCAGCCAGACCCAGGGGGGCACGGGGGGCGCCTCGGGGTGCAGGTCGCTCGACGCATAGAAGGCATAGTCGTACGTGGAGAGCAGCACCACGTTCACCACCGTCAGGGCAAAGCCCGAGAAGGTCAGCACATTGGGGGCCACGTTACGGGGCACCAGCTGCGCAGAGAGGGAAGGCCTCTCGCGAGGCGCGGGGATAGTCGGAATCGGCGGTAGATCCTCAGAACGGTAGACGTCGACATTTCGCCGTGACTCGACTTCCTCAGGGCTATGGTCCCTAAGACGCGTCTCCGACCGATGCCCTCAACGCACGCCCATTTGCGGTTCCTCTATCTTAGACCGGTGACGTCACGCTCGTGCCACGCTGTTGCCTGCCACGATCCTGACAGCAACACGGCGATGCAGACGAATATGTCAGACGTCCGTTCTGCTGCGGGTCGCTGCCCGGCGTGACGGTTCACGGAAGCTTCAGAAGCCAGGAGCTGCCTCGCGACGACGGCAACACTTGCATTCGCTGATCTTTTTCGGCGGAACTTGTACGATCGAATGCCAGGATTGCGACATCCGACGGCACGCCGTCTCCCGCGACCTAATTTCTTTCCTTTTATTCTGCACCTTTTTCGAAGCACCAGCATTCTAGAACACAAAACGCGCCGGTCGAAGACACATTCCAGGCGCCATAGCTAAGCTAGCTAAGAATGCAACACGAGACGAGACGAGCTCCCAGCCCGGCCGTCGCAGCGATTCCGAACCACAGTCTAGAGACTATGGAAAAGTGAAAAGAGTCAGCAGTGCTTTTCTTTTTTTTTGTCTTTTTTGTCTTTTTATTTGTGGCTTTTCTCTGCTTCGTGTTTGACACGAAAAGAAAATAATTTAACAAATATAGTTTGTGGTTTCCACAATCATAAAACAGGGTTCACTACGAAAGGCAAAGTGCTCAACTTGGCGTTGCAGAAGTGGAAGTAAAAAAAGTGGTTTAAATATCTTTGGACCTGTAACACCTTAGTAAAAAGTGGTAAAAAGAAAGAGAACTGTTGGTCTAACAAGCAAGCACTCCCCACAGAAAAATTACAGATGTCTACAATGGACTGTCCCTTGTGGACAACACTGTGCCGCTGCGAGTTACTCCAACCAAGGAGACATTGAACTCGGCTCCTGAAAAACCAACTAAAAGTCATTCTTTCCCCCTCTTTTCTTTGACAAAGACAATCATAATTCCAGGTAAAGCTCTTCAACACACATCTGGCTGATGGCAAATCAACACCTGAAATTCGTTGCATGCGATGATTAAAATACAGTGCAATCCACTTATAACAATAATAAGAAAACACAAAAATTTAATCGTTATAACCAATTATTGTTGTATCTGGACTAGAAGCTGGGTACTTCTAGTCTTGAAACTCTAGAAACTGATCATTATAAGCGGTACATTGTTATATCTGGTATCATTATAAGTGGATTGCACTGTATTTTTATTGCAATGCGAGCACCATTGCTTTAGTAAGATGCTCAATTCTGATCTTGACTTTGGAGATTGTCAGATAGAGTAGCAGCTCGCCATCATCTGAAAAATGGACCCCCTGAGCGGGCGCTTTAATGGACCAACACTTGCATGGTCTCTAAAGAACATACTCAGAGGGTGCCATTTTACAAGTGACACCGACCTGAAACTCCATGCGACAATCTCCAAAGTCGAAGCAAGCACTGTTGCAGAACCAGGTCTAAGTGTCTTACTTAACTATGTCAAAACAGTGCTGGTAATATTAAAAACTCAATAAAAAAGAAATATATATATATTGGTGGAGAATGCGGCAGTTTTAATCTTATTAATAAACGTGCTATACCGTAAAATACTGAGCATGCACTAACCCGCAAGTGCCCACCTCGCCAACAAAGATGATGCTTCCCGTCAGCTTCTCCTCCGAGCACCACGGTGCAAAGCAGCGAAGCCCACCCTATTGTGTGCTTGCAAACGTTCCTACGACCCAACTGTAAATAGCGATAATCTTAAATAAAAACTGAAAGGAGTGTGGTTGTTAGGCTCAAAAGAAAATGTGCAGAGGGGGCTTCTGCACTTTTTCTCTTGAGCTTAACAAGCACACATCCCTCAGTTTTTTGGGGTTTTTTTGTTTTTTATTAAGATTATTGTGATTTACGCTTAGTTCGGGGAAACATTTGCAGGAATTATTTTTTTTCTTGCTGTCCATTTTTAAGTCGGAGCTGCATTGCATCGATGGAATCACGGTCTTTAGATTACCCGGTCTGACATTTTTTCATTAAGCCACGAGAAAGCTTTTTTCTATGGACAAATTAAAGCACAGGGGCCTGCTGCCGACGTAAGGAGTCGTCTAATCGGATCACTCGCAGAATCTAACAGACGGACGTGGGTTCCGAGAAGCCGCCGTGGAGAAAGTCGCCATATCCGTCTACTTGTTCGTAGAACCCCACGAACCTGTCAAAAAGATGGACGACTGGAATCGCCAACTATACTTGGTACCTAGGGGTCACATTATTTTGGAATAATTAAAATGCCAGGTAAAAGATGCTACATTTGCCCTAAAAAAAAAAAAAAATTTAATTTTCACACGAATTAGCACAGTTTGACGTAACAAATTTGTTAGGGCACAAACCGCCAAATGCGCAACTTTCACCGAAGAGTGTCCCGCCTCGGGGGGAAACACGGAAAGATGGGCCCACCTTGACAGCCTGGTCCCAGAAAGGGTGCATGACATAGTTGCTCAGCGGGCTGGTGTCCTTGGACGTGTACTGCAAGGGGAGAAGGAGAAGTGTCGTTCGGACGACGCCCCCGGAGTCGCCCAACGGGCTACGCTCGACAGTAACAACAGTTCGGCCATCTCATTGTTTAAAATTGTTGTTGCCATTCGGCCAGGCAGCAAACACTCTTTCCTCCTCCGAAAAATGTGACGTCTGAGCTTCCCGATGGCACATCTAAAGCCGGGGGAGTCGCATTTTCACATTGTGCCGACTGCCAATTGTAGCGGGCAACAAAAGGGCGGCACCCACGAGACAATTGGCGAATGGAGTGCTCAAAGCGTAGCTTGTCTAGCCCGTGCCCCCAACAGGGCCATGGCAATACAGGTGCACACGCCCTGCGGGCGAGGTAGGACGAGAGGAGACACGGCAGGTGCATGTCAACCCGGCCTCACAGCAGGGAAGAGCAGACGAGTGTCTCTAGCTCACGAGTGTCGGGTCATTGTGTTCACCTACATTCAGTTTTATAGTGGGCGACAGTTTAGGAACCCAGGAGATGCTCCACCTCCAATGCATGCTCCTTGCCTTCTGCCAGGCTTTGGCTGCGCATGCTACTATCAAAGGCAAGCTTTTACTGGGTCCTTGGCGCAACTATAGTGTCACCTACCTTTTAAAAGAAAGTCAAAGCACTTGTTGGATTAGAAAAACATGGTAAAAATTTGAACAAAACAAAAAAAAACTTTTTTTTAATACAGTGCAAATATGGTTGACTTCTATGAGATGAACGTAGCAAAAGAAAAGTCTACAACAAAAGACTGCCAAGCAGCTGCAATATTTATAGACTTTCACCAGTTATTTATGATTCAGTAACAATTATCCTAAATCCCTAAATCGCGATGAAGTTGATACAGTTTGCTTAGACATGTCGAAGGCGTTCAACAGAGTAAACCACGAAATGCTTCTGCTATTTTGGTTTTCTCCTGCACTCACCAGGTGATATCTTACCAACCGTAATAGTATGCAAATTTTAAATTGTTTTTCTGATGCCTTTGTTCCTTCATCTGATGCCCCTCACGGGTCTAACCTGGGACCATTTTTGTTTCCGATTTTTATTAATGATATCCAATTGTGCGCTAAGAATTCTCAGTTGTTGCTATTCACCGATGACTCAAAGTTATTTTTTAATATTCTGTCTCTCAATGACTGCGCACTTGTACGAGACGATGTGTCACACGTGCTTCAGTGGTGCTTGGCAAATGTTTTGTTAATAGATCCCGACAAAACTAAAGTTTTATCAATGTGCAAAAAGAGGGAATTAATTTTAAATGCCTATGTTCTTGGTTCCACAACCATTTTGCGTGTTTCTGTGGTTCGCGACCTTGGCATTTATTTTGATGGTGATCTTTCTTTTTCTACCGTGTCTCTCAAATTGTCGCATGAGCTTTAAGATTGCTGGGCTTGATTTCTCATTTGACCAAAGAATTTTTTAACTCATTGCGCATTATTCGCCTATTTTGCAGACTAATCCGTTCTCGGCTTGAGTTTGCGAGTGTTGTGTGGAATTCTATCGCAGCAACCGATGCATTGCAAATCGGAAAAGTTTAGAAGCGGTTTCTTCTAATTGTTTATGATCATTTTTTAAACATAAGTGTTTTTATGACTACGCATACATAGCCGAGCCTCTGGGCTTACAAATGCTATCAAGTCAAAGAGTGGGGCGTGACTTACTGCTGTTACGCAGATTAATTCATGGCCAGGTAGACAACAGCTTGCTGTGTTGTCTTAACTCTCACGTGCCTCTACGTTCCAGTAAACAAGCCAGTTTGCTATGCTGACTCTCAGGAGAAGCTTTGTCCAATCTCACGTATTCAACTGTCTTTCAATTTCAATGCCATATCCTCAAATACTTCCTTGGATGCCTTTACAGACTATTTGTTTTCTAAACATGAACTAGAAATGTTGCTTTTCACCTCGCATTAATATTTTTTTTCCTGCACATATCTCGTTCACATTGCTTGGACAAAATGTGCCCCCATCAAGACTCAGTCGTTCTGGGGCACTGAATAATAAAGTATGTATGTAAGTATGTGAATGTATTTTAATTAATTTTAAGGAGGCAAATATCCCCTTCCTTCCAATGCACCCTCCGTGTCTCTCGAGTTTATCTGTGACACTAAGATACATCTCGTTTTTCTTTCCTACGCTATTATTAGAAGCGACGTAATCACAAATGAAAATTTTGTCATAGCTCCGCCCCCTGCTGCCAACTGAAAGTCTTGACTTGCAACACAAAAAAAGCGGCGCTAGTGACAGGCACCGGATCGCCGTTTGGGTAGTGAAATCCACTTTCAAGTGATTACAAGGCCGATAATGTGAAAGAAATGCTGCCAAAGCCCACTTTAGCACTCGCTCGGCAGCGTGAACAAAATGGGCCGAGAGATACTCCGTTATTTCCCGCTCATACCCACCAATGACGTTGTGCCACTGAAAAGTGTGGGGACATCTGAATGTTGCTTTCGGCATTGCCTTTGCTCGTTGTTTCCTCAATAGGTATTATGTATTTAGCGTGCCGGGAAGAGCAAAGCCTGGGTATTCAGAAAATGCAGTTAGTTTGGGTAGCTAAACAAAATCCGTGGAGTATCCCTTTAAAATGACAGAAAGCAAGAATAGAGGACTCTTGGTACCTTTCAGCGGTTGCAACACCCCCATCGCGAGGATGCTCAACACTCGAATTGACCAAACTACATCCAAAGAAAGAACCATAAATTGGTCATTAAAATGAGCAATTCATTCCATCGTCTCGCCCAAGGACAGACGAGCAAAGCTACGGGCCACCAAGTCTAATCACAAGCCAGTTATGCGTGCACAGTTTCCAGATGTCTTACAATTGGTCCTGCCCCCCCCCCCCCCCCCCCCATTAGGCTTCCCTGCGGTCCATCGTCGGGTGAAACAAAGTATAGAGAAAGCTCCTGGACATTGCTAAAGTGAAGTGCTTATGAGAAGTGGAGCACAGTTCGCTAAAAAATCAAATGGAAATCCTAAAAAAATGTTTTGGCCCAATTGATAGTTCATCATAAGTGGGCTATAGCCACTCCCAGAATCGGAACGGCAGGGCACGTCTTAGGAAAGCCTCCAGCACACGCTCAACGCCTTCCGCCGTACTTCGTGGTGCACGAGGCGCCAAGGCGCCGTCTAGGGTAGGAAGCTCCCGCCGGAGCCGGGACAACCGGAGCCCCGCCACTCTCACCTCATCGATGACTATAGCCTTTGTGTATGGACAGCCTCGCTAAAGACTCTTCTATATTGCCGTTCGTTACGACCGTGCAGCAAGCGGGTCGACCAAAATGCATCCCTTTGCACATGGGGGAGGAGGTACAAGAAGGTAAGGAGTCTCTCCCTGTATGAGAGAAGGAAGCGCGAAAAGGTGAGGGTCTGCACCATCAAACTTCATTTTCTTGAGAGGGCAGCAAACAGCATCTCGGCTGCAAGTTCTTTGTTCGCTGTAGATTGTTCGATGGTAGTTAGTCGATGATACAATGTGACCATTGGCGTGACTCGCAGACAACGCCGGAGCTCGGTGACTCGGGGCCCGGTGCCACGGCACCCTTTGTGCAAGAAGACAAACTATAGCTTTTGTGCCTACCCACTTTATCCTCCAATCGGAGCTTGGAGTTTCGACATCGCCGTATCCTCTGCGTAAATGGAGGACGAACCTGCCTGCCATATTAGCTTCTCAAAAGTTTGTTTAGTTCTTTTGGCGCATAAACACGCGCAGCAAGAGATCAAACCTAAGGAGGTTTTCTGAGAATTGGCGAGAACCGAATTGAACGTCTTTACTGACATGAAAAGGCCCGCAGTGCTGGAAGAAACATCTCATCATAATAATATTTTGCATCAACCCAAAAGTGAGTGGACACCATTCTGCGAAAGGGGCTGCTGGCCTTCTAAAGAACCTTGCCCTTGTCCCGTTTGTTTTTCTACCCTGTTATCGGGCTAAAGAGCTCACACGATTAAAAAGTAAAAAAAGAAAATATAGATTATTGTTTTTATACTCCGCAACCCGAGATGAAGGATGACGCAAGAGAGGGTGTTGCGCTTCATCTCGGCTTAATATCTGTGGCTTCAACCAACTAGACAGCCTCACTCTTTCGCCAAGGACACAAGCATTCAAACGCTAGAGCCAGCAAAGCCTTAGTTTCGCTCAAATTGTTACTTACACTAACTGCTCTCTGGCTCCACCCACAGAGTCAAACACTCGGCGCAACAAGTAGGTGCAAAGGTAGCTACAGTCTGTTGCAGGTAAAGATAAGCGGGACATGCCCCTTCCGCTCTTGCCGTCCACCGGTTCAATAGCCCGTTTCTACCGACGGCTCGCTCGGCAATGAAACTGGCACGAACAACGAAACATGGCAGAAAGAAATACAGAAAACTAAAACCCACGAGCAATTTTGCATTTTGGTTTGTTCTGTACGTGCGATACAGCACCTTTCGGCACCATAAGTGCATCGCGATAGGCAAGACTAATCACGTTGGGGTTGCGGGTTCGAGACTAGCCCGTTCAGTTTCGATACTGAAAAAATTACAGGAGGACACTCAAGATTGCTTACGTGTAGGAAGACGAAAGCATTGGGCACATTAAGGTAACGTGCACAAGCGCACTCAGTGGTCAGAGTGCACTCCAGCTAAACTAAATGACATTGTCTCATTTCCGGTGCACAGTGGCAAAGCGCGTTCCATGAGCTCCGTCGTCGGAGATGGTGCGCGACAGCTCAACCAGGTCGGTTCTCGGTAAGATGACAGCATTTCCGCTCTCGCGGCCAGTCTCGCGGTGGTCTCACATGTCTCGCGTTCTATTCTCGTGCCCGCTTGGATACATGGATACTTCAACAGCGATCACAAGGCAGCTAGTGCAATCATTAGTCATCGTGGGAAATAAAAAAAATACTGATGTAGACAGGTATATAAATGCTTGTAAAGTTCTTCATGTGCCTTACCACAATTTCAGGATCAGGCGAGCCGATGAATATGGCCATTCAGCCGTCATTCTTTAAGGCTTTTGGGAATTCACAAGACGTTCGGCGTACCTTTAATCGCTGCACCAACCGCGTGCAGCCCAAATGCAGGCTCTTGCTGTTGCTATTGTCTCCGCCACTTATTTCATTGAAGTTGTCGTCGAACAAACACTTAATGAGTCAAGTTTTGAGTGACGGGAGCCATGTTTAAGCACAAGCCAAAAAGCCAGAACCGGAAGCGTTTTTTTTTTTAAATAGACGTCAGATGGGGCCTTGGTACAAAAAAGTGTAATTGTTAAGCTAAGCTCTGAACCAACGCAGATGTCCAGAGTCTGGAGATCACTAACTTAATGCACCCATTATAGTCCCGCGGGAGAAATGTTTTCAAATAATATTTGTTTCTACACATATTAATTGAAGTGTGGGACGACGTATAGGACGACGACATAGAGATCAACGCCAAGTACAGCGTCTAGGATGACATCGAGGACCATCTCTCAGACCACTTCAAGGCGACACAACGTCGAGGACAACTTCTAATACGATTTCTACAACAACATCTAGGACAACCTCTAGGACGACGTCGAGGACGATGTCTAGGATGGCGTCGAGAACAACGCCTAGAGGACACTTAAGAAGGCTGTGACATATTTGCGTGGGTAGCCATGTTTGCCTGCAAAAGTAGCCGTAAATGTAAAAACGCTGCTGCCGATGTCGAGGCCTTAGATGAGGCCGCGGTCGCCTCACAGTCCATCGCACGAAGTACGCAACGAGCACAGAGGAAGCCCGAAGCGCACCTTTTGCACACAGCACTCTGGTGGCGACATCACGCTTCCGCACTTCAGCGTGAGCGGCGCATGCTTGATGACATATTTTTAAGGCCATCTTTTGGGCACATTGACACCGCTTTTTCGAGTAATGGAACAAGTAAGGTCGTCCTAGAGGTCCAGGACAACCTCAAGGACGACGCCAAGGACAGCGTCATCCTTGAGCATAAGATTGAGTGGTGCGTGCTGCTCATCTTATGCTCAGGTTTTATGGCCATATACGCCGCTTTTTTGCTCAATGGGACCAGTACGGCTTTCACTTTAGAACCCAAGAGATGTGGGGACACAATAAAGGAACAAACAAAAAAGAAAAAGCTGTTTTGCGTTTATCCTCTTTTCGTTTTCTGCCTCTGGGATGAGACGGCGTTGAGTTTGTCCTTTTTTTTCGCATCCCCTCGTCTCCGGAGTTTTTCTGTATGACAGCTTGGTAGCTTCCCCACACAATCACCCTTATTCCTGCTCAGTCTTTTCTTTCTTTCCTTCATGATGCGGTCTACAGGTTTGCAAACTGTTATTGTTGACAAGTAAAAAATTATATAAAAAATTTAGGAATCACACAAATGAAAAGTCTGTTTTCTAGAGTTCTGAAATTTAGGAAACTACAAAACTTGGTGTATTAAAGCTTGCTTGCACACCTGTGACTTCTTAGGACTGAGTGCCTTGAAATCTTTTGCGACGAGAGGACACACTGGCACCACCTATCGGGTAGCAGTGGAACAATTGGCCATCACATATATATTTTTTTTTTTGTGCATCACTTTTTCTTTTTTTGGCTCAAAAAACTCTCGTCAAAGTTATAAACAAATAGTTCTCATAAGTAGTAGGTACATTTGACCCCGCAAATACCGCCAAATCTTCACACTAGCGAATTATAGATTCAGCGACACCGCACAGATGGCGCCAGCGTGTTCTCTAGCCTAAAGCCCCTCGATGTGTTTGCGTTTGTCTTGCAAGTAGCGTCAAATGTGCGAGTGCACAAGGTCCATGTCTCCAGCGGCCCTTGGAAGCAAATGGCGGCGCAGCACTGAAATGAGCGGGCCTTGGAAGCGAATGGCGACGGAGCACCCGCTCATGGCACGTGTCTCGCGCGCTTCCACAACAATGGTTGGCGGTACTTGTAAAAAAACGCTTTTATCAAGGGGCTTTACTCTAGCCGTAAGAGCTTTTAAAGCAATCGGTTCTAAGAAGCCGCAAGTGTGTGAACAGGGCCTTTACGTGCACATTAAGTAGTCCACAAAGATATCAGAGAAAGAAAAGTCCAAGTTAATATTTTTCGCGTTGAACCCCAGCAAGATTTCTCGTGCATCCACGTCATGTGTGCTGTCCAACAATGAGACTCCATGTCTCGGTTCTCTTCTTCCTCATTTTCTTTTTTTTTTTTTTTTTTTTTTTTTGGGGGGGAAGGGGGGGAGGTTATAGCTAGTCAGGTAGTTGATTCAGCGAGCACAGAAAGCTGACAAGAGTACCCCAAACTATCAACCGAGCAGTGGGCATCGATATAAAAATTTTGCTTCACGAACGCGTGCCACTTATCTCGAATCTTACGGTCACCCTCCAATTTAATCAGCCGATTGCATTGCATAACGTGCTCTAGATGCAGGTTGCGAGGGCGCTTGGCTCATTGCCAAAGGGGGTCACGATGTTGGCCAAGGTACGACGCCTTCTATGTTCCACTTGCTTTCAAGACACGCAAAAAGCAGCGAATCCCAGTTAGCTCTGGTGCACCCTGGAGTCAAACCAGCAGGCAATTGCCAGGGCAGCGTTCCGCTCTGCCCTCCCTGCAAGGCGGGTTCCCCGAAAAACCCGCGCACCAGCTGCGCGCGAAGATTGTTCGAGATGGTAGACACCGGCAGACGCTGGCCTGGAAGTCTGCGCGTCGCGGCAACGAATGCCTCGGCTGCCCCGAACAGCAGCTGCTGACCAGGCTGGCGGACTGCGCCCCGAATACTTGAAAGAAGAACTCCCCGAATACTTGAAAGGAGAACTCTCTGGAGACGCAGCTCCCCTAGCTGACCAAGCGCGCGGCGCGATACGGTTTATCAGGGCCATCGAGGGGCGCGATTACCGGGGGAAACTCGACGTCCAATATCCGAAAGGCCCGGCCGTGCCGGACGCGTCTCCGGAAACTCTCAAGCGGCGCCGAGCCGCGCAGACGCTCACGCCCTTCTATGCAGCCGACTTCAGAACTCCGGAGAGCTCAGCAGCGCTAGTAGTAAACGAATTAAGCGTGTCCAAGAGACGTGCCCCCGCTTTATTCCACGAGCAAGTGGAGTAAAGTCGGCAGGAGAGGTCCTCCTCAGTTTCGTTAGCGCAGTTTCGTTAGCGCAGTTTCGTTAGCGCGGTTCCGTTAGCGTACTGCAGCCCGCTCACGCGATCTCAGCCCGACGGCACGAGAATGGGATTTTGGCCATCGACGGCCAGCGGATTTGCGTGGCTCATGTCGCAAGCACGCGCCACCGTTTCGCTCTACGCCCATTGCCGGACAAGGCGAGGGGCGCGGAAGTATTACGCCTCGAAGCCCCCGCAAGCTGCGATCACGCCGATGAATGGGCTGGCGACGCGAGAGCGTCGACGATTGTTGGGAGCGGCGTGGAACGAGGCACAGATTTCTCCGCACTTACTTCGTAGTTCTCGAAGCCTCTGAGCTCTTCCTCGGAGAGGTAGCGAACGTACATCCTGCCGGTGCACCGACGGCTCACATCCGTCGAAAAGTCTCAATTTTGTGACCACGGAAAATCGTAGGAACTCCGTTGGATCAACCTTCCTCGATTGGAGATCGAGAGCTGCTTGCGACGGATGAGATGCGCATTGGGTGCGAGAGTTGCAGTGATTGATGGCGACGCTACTGCGGCTGACCCAAAACGAAGTATTCGATAGTTTCGGTTTTGCTCGCAGCCTTATTAATCCCCAATATTTTCTTTTTTTTTTTTTTTTTTTTTTCATTTTAGTAACCTAGTTTTACTGAATAATAGCGATTTTTATTCGCACGGTAAATATTTATGTGTAAAAAAGTATATGTTTAGACCATAGAGTTATTACAATGCACATTATGAAAAAGATATTGTTTCTTTTTTGTTTTGTTTTCAGTTTGCACCGAACTTGAGCGCAATGAACGTACTAACTTAGTGAACTTTTTCTTTTCTCGAAATTCGCTTTATTTTAAAAGTTATAGGCATATTAAAATTGCAAAAACAAGCAAAAAAATAATTTCCTTCATGACGTCCTTGGTCCTCTGTTCCCCTTTTGCCGCGCCCGCGGACCGCAGGGAATGAGAAATGTGGGGAGAGAGGGGAAAACGGGAAAAGGAGGCGAGGCCGAGGAGAGAGAGCCGCCCGGGAACAGGGCAACTCTCTCTCCTCGGCTGACGACAGACCAACGACGTCACGATTTCGTCCCACGTCGCATGCGTTCGACACCACGAGGCGCCTTCGTAGGAGGAGGAGGTTTCCACATCGTCCAGTTAAAATATGACACACTGATATTTAGTTACTCTCTCTGTGTCTGCTGGGTTGCCCGAACCACAAGAGACGTTGAAACCGCAAAGAAGGTAGACGCTTTTATAGGATTGCAGGAAGACTGCTTACGAGCAGGAAGGCGAATGCCAGTCAAGAAAGACGTCTAAAACGACGCCTAGGACGACCTTAAGGACGAGGTCGAGAACGACGGCTAGAGGACAACCTCTAGGACGACATCAACGACATCTAGGACGACTTCTACAACGACGTCAAAAACGACATCTAGGAATTCACTTTGATTCCTCTTAATTCGTCTTGTCATCTTTCTAAACTTAATAGACCCTTTCCGAAATTCAGTCTGGCCACTTTGATCGCTATCATCATCTGTGGAAAGGCATCTGTGCCATACCAATGGCGGCCTTCTAGCAACTCATAAAGGAAAACGTTGAAGATGCTCTTAAGCGGATTATGCGACGCCTGTACATTCGGGGGGTCAGTACGACGCGACGTAGGAATGAAATACGAGAGCTACGTAAGCGTTTATTTCTAATAGCTCAGATTCAGTCAATCTGTGGGCGGCACACGATTGGCTTTAAAGCATTTTGGTGTATAGAATTTTCCCGAGGCATCTGAGTGGGTTGGAGCTTTGTTCTGAATGCAGGTTCTTGGTCACCATCGAACTGAAAGTGATAGAGAAAGAACTCACACTGAAAAATCCCTCGCGTGCCGTTGACTTGCAGAAGTGACGGTGCCGATACAAGTTCATTTCCGCCATTGATATGACAAAAGCTAAACTGCTTTACGAACCACCAGATGGCACTGAATTTCGGAAAGGGTCTATTGCCTCTGATTTGCCCGAGTGGTCACGTAAACGTTTTGGTACATTTCGTGTCGCCAACATGTTTTATTATTTTATTTATTTATTTATTTAAAAGATATACCAGGCCAGTAATCTGGCCCAAATAGGAGTGGATGCAGTTTCTCTTCGCATGATACACAGAATTTCGAATGATCGACTGAACGATGAGACATATAAGGCTTTTACAGCGAAGCTCTTATGGGCTAGGGTCTGGGAAAAAATGCGTCCTCACATGTCAACAGAAAACTCCCCAGTGGTCGTGGCAAGTATGAATAAATAAAAAAGTGAAAGCCGTTTACAACTCCCTGTAACGCCGAATTAGAGCACAGCTCTTGAGGAGGAGGAGGGAAGGGTACCGGGGGGGGGGGGGGGGGTGAAGTGACTTAGGTGGGTCACGTGACGATGCCGATGATGTCATCAGTGACGATGACTATGCGGACTCCGATGACGTCATCAGCGATGATGACGATGACGATGTGGATGTCGGTGACGTCATCAGTGACGTCACTGATGACGTCGGCCGTGATGATGATGATGACGATGGGGATGCCGGTGACGTCATCAGTGACTGATGACGATGCGGATGCCGGTGAGGTCATCAGTGACGTCACTGGTGACGTCATCAGTGATGATGACGATGATGATGCGGATGCCGGTGACGTCATCAGTGACGATGACGTCATCGGGGAGGTCACGTGACCTCGGCGGGGGGGGGGGGGTCACGTGACCCTGGGGGGTGGTCACGTGACCTTGGGGGGGGGGGTCACATTACTTTGGGTGTCACGTGACCTTGGGAGTCACGTGACCCTGGGGGAGGGGTCACGTGACCTCTGGGGGCCACGTGACCTTGGGGGTCGCGTGACCTTGGGGGTCGCGTAACCTTGGTTACGCCGACGCCGACGCCGCTCAAGCCGGGAATGGGCCCCTAAGAGCTGCGCTCTAAAAGAGGGGACAACCAGCGTGAGACAGCTTTCCTTGGCATATTATAGCGAGTCGTTTCACAGCACTTGTGCCCACGCGTGCCCACTCGCAGCGTGGTGCGGATTTGTTTCGGCCGGCACTCCACGAGTGGTTGCACTCTCCGAGTTAATTTCACTGCTGGCACCCTATGCGTGCATGCACTCGCTGCACCGAGAAAATCGAGAGTGCGCCAAAATGCAATCCCGTCATGCCTCGCTCCGGCGAGGAGCGGGAGCAGATGACGAGGGTTTGTCTGCTTCGATGTGTCACGGAACTGAAAGGAAAGAAAAGTAGATTTTCCGACAGAAATCGCGTCCCGCAGGCAATGGAATCAAACGCGAGCTTGAATTGTGAGCGTCTGCTATTTCATGAAGGAAGCAATTGACAAACCACGCTTTAATTGCACGTTTTAAGTCGCTCTGTTGCCGTAGAGATGCCGAAATATACTAGTGTGTAAAAAGACGCTCAGAACAAACGCATCAGGGGCCCCCGAGATACTTATCACCATCCGTGAGCGGGTGAAAAATTTAATATTTGTCGACAAAACTCCCCCAGCAGAAACCTCCGACTGCCCAATAAGGATCAGAGAAAGCTAAACATATATGTGACTTTACCCGAGGCTTGGGCAACAATATCATATGTAACATTTACCTACTTAAAGGGACAATGAAGACAATTTTAATTAAATTTTTTAAATGGTGTTTTTAGGCTTCTTAGGAATTTGGCATATTGCCAAATTTTTTATAGACATTTGTGACGCGTATTTCTGTTCCTACGAAAGAACTGAAGAAACTGAAACTGAACTATCTGTGTTTCTCAATTTTGGGCCTCCGAAAACGGAGGTGACGTAGGGAGTGATGTCACATGTGAATTGTCGGTACCGGTAGCGTTTAGGGCGTCGAGACTCTGGTTACCGCGATGGGCTATAGCAGCGCGGTGTTCCGCGCTGCGTTCTTTATTTTATATATTTTCTTTGCCCATATTTGCTCGTTGCCCGTTTCGCATGCAGTGTAGCAAAAAGAAAAAGAATTATGGTGTTTTATTTACGGTTTAGTTATCATTTTTGGTTCGATTTATAGTTTTCATGGTTATTCAAGTGGAATTAGAACAGTGTTCATAAAAACCACGAACCAAAGCGTGACCGAAAGCACGTTTCTCGTTTCGACCAATCGCTGACGCGTCTCTTGTGACGTCACGCTTCCAGGCCCCGCAGGGTCACGTGACCTCCGCTTCTGCTGGTTTCTCCCACAACGCTCGGGGCGTCGCCTCGATCGATCCCGGTACGATTATAACCGCGACTGTTTAATTGATTCGCGCGGCACACAAGCGCCGGTTTCGGCTGAAATTTGGGCAACATGGCCTGAGACGTGCCGGGAACCCAGTTCAATCGCCAAAAAAATATTTGAAATTGCCTTCATTGTCCCTTTAAGCTAACTTTCCCTGTCGTATTTTGTTTGAGAAAGCTCTCATTCTCAACGCCCTCACCAAGGCTATATATCTGATCCGCCTGTAATGACGATCAAAATCGAAAGTTTCGCTAAAAGTTTTGCTGGATATTCCAACAGACTAGTTTTAAGCCGTACCCTTTCAGTGGTTCACGCATAACACCATGCTCAGACGGATCAAGCTTCTGCTCAGACAGCATCATCAGTTTTCTTCAGCGTAAACGGTTATAAGAATTGAAAGATCGCAACCAGCTGCTCTGTAGACAGCAGGTTGTGGAAATTTACGGTCTAGCTATCTCTACGACAGCCAAGTTGCTTGAAGTCATCGCAAACATAAACTACAGGTTGCAGCGTCCTAGACGACGTCCTAGATGACGTCCTCTAAGGTCGTCCTAGAAGTCGTTCTCTAGGCATTGTCCACGAGATTGTCCTAGAAGTCGTCCATGAGGTCATCTTAGATGTCATCCTCTAGGAATCATACTTGAGGTTCACAAGAAGATAGAGGACCAGCTTCGTCCTCCATCTACACGTGAAGTGGATGGGCTCTACAAATTTTAATATAACATCTATGGTTAGACCGGTTTAAACAGCATGAAGCATGAAGGTAGGAAGCTTCCGGAGGCAACATGATGCTAGGGGGGGACACGCCCAATGACCACAACCAAGAGACGCTATCGGACGAAATGATTTGGTGCTGTATTATGATTGGCCACCCAGAGAGTGGGTTAATCTGCTTCCTGGCAGCGCCAACGACCACCCATCGACTGACCAGTCTCAGGTTCGGCATTCACGGCGCCACCAAACATGATGACTGATGTGGCGTGGGTGGGGTGCGGCCTCTGAGCGATGCATGAGCATGCAACCCGGCACAGCGGAAGCTGACACCCCTGACCAGGCCCCGCTGAGAAACGGGGGCCCGCTTCATCGGCCTTCGGGACAAGTGCTGACGGACGATAGACACAAGTGGAGACATGGATGAAGAAAGAATAAAACGATTAAAACGGGGACAACACAACCACATCTTTCAAACAGAGACATTTGGGTCTCTGTGTGTGAGCGGGAAAGCTGCTCTGTCCGTTCTTCGGGGAAATGGGACGAAAGGGATGCTTGGGCTGGGGTGCGA